CACACACACACACACACACACAATTTATTAAGGACACATGAGTGCCTGTGTCACATAGAGTAATGCTAAACATCAGCTCTTGTGACTAACATTGTTTAGGTCTCAGGGAACTGCTCCCCCACATCCCTTGCCCTAAGGCCTCAAAACAATTGACAACTGTGCCTGAAAGCCCCAGACTTTTGAGGATTTTGCTATTGCTAATCCAGCAGCAGCAGTGACGGAGACTGCTTCAGAGTGCAGGGAGGCTGTGAGCAGCAGGAACACTCGGATAAGAGAAAAAGCTAATTAACTGGTCAATTCCTTCTATTCAGATACATGAATGTAACTGATCCTTGTACAACGAAGCACCATCCCCACTTGTGCCCACTGTCTATATTCTTGCTACTCCTCATATTCCAATGTGTACTTCAGGAGGTCCTCTAACACCTGCACATGGCAGCCAAAGAACGGTTTTGAGTATCAAACCATTTCTGTTGCTCTTAAATTTGTATAGATGTCTACACCAACACATGTGAAATATGATGCCAGGGATTTACATTAATATTAAATTGAGATATTCCTTGAAAAGACAGTAAAAGTTGTAATATAAGTGATAGGGTATATGATGGAATTAAAGTATTTTCTAATATTTTCTGTGATAAAAATAATTTACTGTATGAGATCCCATTACCATGTTGGGAACATGGTATGTTATATACATGGTTCATTTTCAAATCTAAGTATTGCTTTGAGAATTTTGTTAACAATTCAGGTTGACATGTCCTCCCCCAAGGGAAAGTTTCTTCAAATTGAAATGATTGAGAAACTATCTCAGAACTACAATGACTCAAGAAAAGTTGTACACTTCAAATGGGTGAATTGTATGGTATGCAAGTTAATTTCAAGACAGCTATTGCAAAATAAGAAAAGTTGTCTAACTCAGTGTTTCTGTCAAAAGAATACAAATTATCTGATAATCTTAACTAAAACAACATAACAATTTTTTCTATAAAGAACACAAAACTTACTGAATAGGAAATTATTTCTTAATTATAAAATATTTTATTACTCATATGCATCTCCTTGACCAACAGAATACCCGGACAGTACATTTATAGTTAAATTCCATTGTCTTTGATACTTTGTGGACTCTTAGTCATAAAAAAAAANGTTATGATCATAATGTAAATATCTTTTTGTTTTCTGATGGTCTTAGGCAACCCCTGTGAAAGGGTGGTTCGACCCCCAAGGGGGTTGCGACCCACAGGTTGAGAACCGCTGCTCTAGAAGATCTTGAGAGAAAACAAAAACCCAGACACCTTGTCTACTAAATCTGATTGGGTTTTAAAAACATGTTGCCAAGGTAAGCAGAACTGACTGACATTTAAAGAATTTTCTTCCCAATAGGTCTGTTTACAAATCCATCCCTAAAGTCCAAGCTTTCCCCAATCACACTACTAAGACTGAGAAACACAGAGAAAAATAGATTAACTAAACCACAAGACATACCTCTTCTCCTAATCCTAAATTTTCATAAATGGCCTAATTTTTTACCTTGTACAGGGTTAAATCAAAAGAATTGCACATGTTCAAAAAGATATCATGCATGTAGTCAAAACCAGTGTGTACAGGAATCAGTCACTTCTAGAACCTCCCAGTGACTCAGTATGCACTTCTGACATTACTTGGCACCAGATATACTAAAGGCTAACTGCCCCAACCCCCCGTACACCCCACCAACACACACACATTTTTCAGCATAATACGGTTGAAGGCTGAAGCTGTAGGCAAGATACAGTCCTTCATTTCTTCAAGACTGCAAGGAAATGATTGTAACGAGTTTGCAGACACAATGCAAAAATAAATCTAAAATATGGTACATGCTGTGTTTTTTTTAATGTAATCTAGTCACTGAGTAATAAAATTTCAGATTGCTTTGCAACTCTTTGTATATTACATACATATAAAATATACACGAAGACAGGTGCCCACAATTCATGATAAAGTTGTCCTTGGGGGTAGGGGAGGGAGTCTATGTTAAAGCCCATGCAATTCTGGCATTTTAGCAGCCAAATGTCTTTTTACTAGATCCACGAGAAATTCACCTTAGAATTTTTCTCTTTATCATCATGTCACATTGTAACTTGGTAGTAATTATTTTAAATAAACTCTATTTCTAGTCCAGAATCTTAATGAACTCAGACATAGTATTTTCCAATGGATTCGCATTCCATTATACCATATAAAATTTTATTTGCCACCTCCTTCCACCCTAAGTATTTTCCTATGGTCTTAAGCAGATTTGTATTTGAAATAACCACTAGTGATAGGAAAGCCAAAGTCAGCTTAATACCATTACTTTTTCAGAGTCCATTGCTACTTGGGACATAAGCATCGATCTCATAAACAATCACTTAACGCCCAAGATGGGCTAGTTCCCAAAATACACAAAACCTACTGCTTTCTCTAAGTAGTCTGCAGGGCACTAGTGAAAATATTTCTTAAGACTGGGAAGTCTTGAAAGGTTGGCAATTGTAAACCAAAGGTCTCTGTTGCTCCAGTGAAAAATTAACCAAGTATCTTAGCTGAAAGAGAAAACATATATGTCTTCCTTTTCTCAGTGCCTGAAATGAGCAACCTAAATGACTGCCCACATTTCTGAATCCCTGAACATGGGGTGGCTCCCTACTACCACCAGCAGTAAGACTGCAGGGCTGACTGAATCCATCATACTGTTCTGGAGTTTCAGCTCAAGAGCTTCTTTCGGCCTTGGACCAAAACACTCAGCAAATCTTTTTGTTCAAAGACCTCTGCCAAGCAGAGTAGGAAAGCATGCACTCACGAATAGGGCCAACACCCCGAAGCGCTTTACCTTATTCTGCTCACACATGTACTGTATCCTCAGGGTGTCCATGGCTCTGATCATGGCTTGCATGGCAGTGAATATGTTTTGGTAAACCAGCTTCGTGAACCCCTTTCGATCTTCATCGCTGTAACCAGATCCATGGATAATTCTCATTTGCTTGATAAAGGTGCTTTTGCCACTTTCACCAGTCCCTAAGAAGACAAAACAAGTGAAAAACACAGTCAGCAATCTTCAAAAGGAACACACTAAGAAAGAAAGGACTTCCTGATAGTGCTGGTTCATGTCATAATTGACAGGTTGATGCAGGGCAGTACCAGCCTAAACCCTGGGAGAGGGGTCCTTACCCTGAGCCCTGTGCTTTAGAAGGCCTCAGATCTCCCTCTCCCTCTC